ACCGATGCCATGACACTTGTGATCCAGACTAAATAAGGACAAAAATCCCTCCTCCCTTTGGAAAGGTGGAGTTGGGATGATAATCAGGAAATAAAACCCAAGCCCTTCCCTCCTCAATGAATATTCTGCCCATTCATTTTTACACCCTACATAACTAACTTCCTAAAGAAACTCAGGGCAGCCGCTCATCTGAGCCTGCCTGCTCTCCCGTTGAGAGTGTACTATCCATCCTTTAATAAATCCTCATTTTACTTTTTTTAATCTCTAAGTCTTGTCTCTGAATTATTTCTGGGACGGGGCAAGAACCTGGAACACAGGTTGGATCCACCGGCAACAGTAAGAGCAAGCAAACTGTATCCCCTAACTCACAATAGGCCAAAGAAAGGAGCAGCCCTCAGGGAGAAACTGGAAATCATAGTCATGACTTAAAGCATAGTTAAGTTGCTAACAGCTAGAAAACTCTCCAAAAGTAATTGTTGACTGGCTGATCTAATTAATTAATTAACTAACTAGTTAACTAACTAAATAAGGGACTCACCTGCAGCAGTCATCATGTAATAACTGAGCCAAACTGACCCTTCTCTTTCTCTCCCTCCCCCTATCACCCTCTGGCCCTCCTCGGGGCACTGTGCGGTAGCCAGCAATAGCTTTTGAGCCCAGTATGAAAAACCCAAAGTTTTTCTAGCCCAAAGGTATGTAAAGTATTGGCTGAATCAGGCTTATAGATTTATTTTGTTTGTCTTGCAGAACACTTCACTTATGGAAAACTTTTAAATAAAAATAGAAGTTTTCAGCATCTTGAAAAAAAAACAAGAAAAAACAGTTAGGATCCGCATCCTGGGCCCCTCATTCCTGAATGACAGCATCTGCTGGCTCTCAGTTTATGCTTTTCTGGAGCTCCTACCAGACAGCTTCAGTCCTTTGCCTGCCTGGCCCCTGCTAGCACTTTCATTTTTTTTCTTCTGCCCTAGATCGTGTTCCCAGACTTTTCTGAGGTACTTGCTAAATATTAGGTTTCTCAGGCCTTTCCCCTGGAGATTCTGATTTAATGGGTGTTATGGATCGAGCTGTGCCCCTAAAATTCATGTGTTGAAGTTCTAATCCCTGAGTCCCTCAGAATGTTACCTTATTTGGAGGTAGGGTCTTTACAGAGGTAATCAAGTTAAAAGGGGGTCGCTAGGATGACCCCTAATCCAGTATGACTGGTGTCCTTGTAAAAAGGGAAAATTACAAGAGACTTGCAAAGAGGGAATATGGTGCAAAGACAGAGAGATGATAGCCATTGACAAGCCAAAGAGAGCCCAGAGTCGATCCTTCCCTCAGAGCTCTCAGAAGGAACCAAACCTGCTGGCATGACACTTTGATTTGGGACTTCTGGCCTCCACTAGTGTGAGAAAATAAATTTCTGCCATTTAAGCCATCCAGTAGTGGTACTTTGTCATGGCAATTTAGCAAATTAATACAATGGGTTTGGTACCAAGTCTGGAAATTTGAGCTTTTAATAAATGCAACAAACATGGTCACACATGGGAATATCTGGAGGTTTGGGAAAAACTTTGATTCCTAGGTTCCAACTGCAGAGATTCTGACCTTGTTGATGTAGGGTGGGACCTCAGCATCAGGATTCTCTAAATCTCAGGTGATTCTAGGGGCACCCATGTTTGAGACCCACCAGCTGGGGAACACTATTCTATAATACCAGATTTAATATTAGTATAATTTTACCTCACTGTTTTTCATTTCTTAGTTTTCTCATCTGTAGATAATGTTGATCACTACCATCTATCGGGGCCCTTTGATGTGCTAGACACTATGAGTTATCTCATTTAATCACTAACAGTCTATAAACTTGATTCTTCTTTGAGAAGTATGTCTTTGAGTTGAGGAAAGATTATATGATTTGCTGAAGGTCACATAGGCTCTTACGTGTTAGTCTATGCACCCAATATCTCCTTCCATTTTACCATTTGGTCTTCCAGTAAAACAGGGTTAAACCAAATGATCTATATGAATGCATCCAGTTCAAAAGCTATTTATTTATTTTTTTAATATTTTCATATTTTTTTCAAAAAGTCCCTAATTTTAAGATTCGTGAAAATGTTTTACTAGTACCTCTGTCAACAGTGCCCGTAAGCTCCAGAATTTTCTACTTCTAACTATAAATAAGTGAATAAATTGGATTTTTCTTTTTTGTTTTCTAAGCCAGGGAAGTATTAGCAATTCACTTAAATCTATTTTCAAGCTGATGAAAAGTAAAGCAACAGTAGCACGTATGAAACAGAACCCTGGCGAGATGAGACATTAACAGGTAGAAGCCCACGATGAATTATTCTTGTCTGCATGTTTAATGAGACTCTATGGGTTAGGTATCTATTTCCCATAGTGGCCTGATGTAACTGTTTCCTGCCACATACACTAGTATTACCACAATCATCTGCTTAAAGATGTTTTATGTTCAAACATGCGTCATATGCCCTATCTTCCTCATAATTCCTGCCATTCAGTTTCCAAAAGAATAGTGGTATGTCTTTGAGTTCATCCATTCACTTCATCTCATATTTACTGAGGGCCCAGCATGTGCAGATGGTATGCCACAAACGGGGTACAGTGGGGAACCAAGTTGTCTCCCTGCCCTCGTGGAGCCTAGGGTCTAGTGAGGGGGTGATGGTCAATGAGGAGGTTAGTAACTAAGAAAATTACAGATTTTGAAAAATGCTAGAAAAAGAAAAAAAACAGGATGATGAAATGTAGAGTTTCTTGGGAAGGATATTATAGATGAGGTGGTCAGGGAAGACCTCTCTGCAAGAGGGATATTTGACCTGAAACCTGAAGAATAAGAGGGAGCCAGGTAGGCAAAGAGCTGGGGACCAGCTCTCTGACACAGGAGCAGTAAATACAAAGTTTCTAAGGTGGGAATGAGCTTAGCATGCTTGGGGGACAGCTGAAATACCATGAGAAAAGAGAAGGACCCTATCAGATGATGTGGGCGGGAGGGAAGGCGAAGGATCATACAGGACTGGGTGCCTTGGAGAGGAATCTGGATTCTACTCAAAGAAGAATGAAAGTCCAAGTAAGTGGCTTAAGCAGTCAGGTAACCCCTGTTACAACCCACCACTCTAGGTCACACGCTCAGGGAGACTGTAAATTCCAGTATTTGGTTCTCCAAGAGCTAATGTTTCTTAATTCAAAATGTAAATAA